CTACATCAGCTACTTCGAACTGGTGAATACCGTTTCAGTATTCAGGTGAAGACGGGTCCTGACCCTCTGCCGAGGGTCCGCACTGTTCTCAGCTGTTGTTGTGTTACATCCGTGGGCAGGCTATCATCTTCCCCCGAACATAACGCATATGTGTTGTAAACGAATAGGACGCATAGGTTGCTTTTCTGCTCGAATACAGCACACATCCGTTCGATACGAACAGCCTTCATTTTCGAATACAACGCATATGCGTTCTATTCTATCCTAAACTCGAATGCAACACATATGCGTTATGTTCGGGGGATCATGGTAGGGAAGTGTGTGCTTTGGGTGAAATTCCCCTGGGCAGCAGTCCCTGTAGGCTGTAGCACATGGTTTGCGGGAGTGTCCAGGTGAAGAAATGCACCTGGATACACTCCCGCAAACTATCTGTCCTGCATCCCCACATACCTTTTTCTGCAGTAGTACTTTACTACTCGTGTTGATGATGCATGGGTGTGGCATGATGCAGGCCTGTGTTTTGTTTCCTGTTTGTAGTTGGGTAGAATGAGGGCCATGTTTGTCCCTTTTTGTGCGGTAAAGTTTGTTATTGAACTGGTGGGGACTTATGTACCCTCAAAGCCTCAGCCACAGTTGCAGATGTGGGGGGGGTGTAGGTAGGAGAGTGCCCCTCAACTATGCAGGTGTGCTTGCTAATTCCTTATTTAAGGCGCAAATGCGCAGCAAGCGGACACATATGTGGGCACGACCAGCTCAACCACACACGCTGCCGTAATTTGCACTCTTACAGCGTTCTATGCTTGTTTTGTATTGCATTTCAAATTGTTCAGGATGGAAAAGAGGTTGTTGATGGGCGACCCTTGAGAACACACACAGACAGACATGCACACACAAAGCCGACGGGTGCCGCCGTCCAATTCTCATGAGCGGCACGATCGTGTAGTGCTTTTGTCTGGCTAGCAGTCTACCACAGATACAGCCAGCATGATAAAGCAGTCAGGCCTTCATTTTGGGATGTTCAACTGAATGGAATGTGTTTGATGGAAATGGCTCTAGGAAAAGTGTGCTATGCGCACCTTGATTGTTCTTGGTTGTCGAGGACAGGATGCCGAGGCTGCTGTTCTTTCTTTGCCTGAGTCTCTCCTTTCATATGTGCAGGCAAGACAGGTGTGAGGGCCCTTGGCGCTTAGCCTCACAAGTCTGGCCAACCTTGTACTCGTTTTACCACTGTTAACAGGAATGTGGATTGACTTGCGAAGGATGTTCGGTGACTAGTACTGACTACGTAGCACTGATTACTTGAAAACACCCAAGGAGTAGATGGTTCTGTCAACTTCTCTGGCAATGGGATGTCTTGACAAGAGAGACACAGAAACTCTGACGAAAATGCTATACATTGTCATGGCCATGCTATTCGTGTGGATGATGCATTAGCAAACATCATACTCACACAGCCATCACAAGAAAACGAAAAGAAGCGCGGTTGACTTTCCAGAGGCTGCTACTCTCAGAGACACGAGCAAGCGGGAGATGGGAAAAAGTTCGGAAAACCCAAACTGCCCCCAGATATACTATACATTATTCTCAGGCTGTTGAAGAATGTTAAGAAACAAACCTTTGAGTAATCTCTGGTTCGTACATAAAACACGGGCTTGAACAAGGAAAGAAACCGATAGTGCAGATCCTTGGGCGGAAAACCGAACAGCCCAAGATCAGCCCTGCATCCAAACGACAAACAATCACCGTTGATGCTTCGATCTAATCGATGAGATGAAATTAACTGCAATGCTGCGATTCAATCAAAGAGATGCAAAAGAAATAGAAAAGAACTGCAATGCTGTGGGTGGCAAAGATGTTGTCGCTGCGGAAATCATGACCCAACATTAGGCCTTTTTTAAGGGCTTTAATATTTTCTTTCTTCTTCTTCTTCCTTTCTTTTTTCCCCGCTCTGTCACACATGTTTTCGCCTCCTGCTGCTCCACGTCCTCCTCCTCTTCCTCCCCCCTTCCTCTTCCTCCTCTCTCCTCCTCCTCTCTCCTTCCCCTCCTCTTCCTGTTCACTTCTTAGAGTAGATTTACTTGATCACCCACTTGCTTTCAGGTTGTAAGTCGTAGCTTGTAAAAGGTTGTAACAAATTCTTGTAAGCAAGAGGGTGATCTTGTAAGAGGTCGTAACTTACGCGTAAGGCTCAGCCGAAGTCGAGTAATGGCCCCGGTATCTTAAATTATTTTTCAAATTTTCATACGTTCTCAGATGGGACGCGGGGCCCGGTTCCCAGCAAGTGCTTCTCCCCACGAACAGATTGGCGCACTGTTCCATCAAAAAAAAAAAAAAAAAAGGCTCTGTTCTATGCGTGTCTGATTTTTCATTTGCCTTTCAACTTTCAGGAGTGGTAATGTAGGACCTTGATGATGACGGATTTTAAAAATACCTCAGAGTGTCAAGCTCAAGATTGAAGAGGACTACTGGCGTGTTTACAGCAAATGCTTCCTGCACAAGCAGATACATACCATGGGACGTTAACTTGTTCCATCACTCATAACCATACAGATAACCTGCACCATTTGCATTTCACTTTCTTCAAGTTTTTTCCCTTTTAAATTTGCAAGAGTAACGATTTGTTAAACAAATTGATAAAAATTGATTAAAAATCTGACAGATTTCGAGATTTGCCATTTACTGGGCATTGAAGGAAGTGATCCCCTTTCCCCGGTCCCTCGACGGCTCCCGTCAAACGCATAACACTGGGTAATGCTCCCAGACCAGGCCTTTATGGGGGATGTCCAGCCTTTTCAATCAAGTAATGTAAGAAAAGGAGGGGGAGAGAGAGAGAGAGAGAGAGAGAGAGAGAGAGAGAGAGAGAGAGAGAGAGAGAGAGAGAGAGAGAGAGAGAGAGAGAGAAGAGACCACTTTTCTCTCTACATGAATAAAGAATCCTTGTGCAGTGATGACCTGTGCACTTTTCACCTGATGTAGTACTGGAATCCTGTGTCAGCATCATTTCCAATAGTAGTCAACGTCGTGAAGGGTAACATACATTCCTAATCGGTAATGCACAGCTAATGTTTTCACTTCCCGTACACTTGCATATGTGCGTGTATGTGTATGTGTATTTTTGTGTGTGTCTGTGCAATTTACATTTTCACCACAACAGCCCCTGTTCCACCCAGAGAGGAGGTCCATAGCCGAAGCAGCTTTACCTCTACTGCAGACTATGCGTATGTTTCTGTGTGTCTGTGTGGAAGGATTGTGCGTGCAGATATGCTCACCATCGCACAAAAAAAAAATCAGGTGGCGGGAACAGCAAGTAAAACGAAGCCTAGGATACAAATTAAGAAGAAGATGAACAAACCCGGACCCAGTGATAGCGGAGAGAAGGTGGAATCGCCTGCAAGTAGACCCAGAAAACTTCAACCAGATACCATTGAACCAAGTAGCCACAACCCACCCGCCCAAATTCAGAAGCCTGCAATGGCTTATTCTCTACCTAGCTGTCCCGCTGAATCAATGGTTGAATGTGAGGACAAGACAAGAGGATAGCAGCACACTTAAAGAGCTATGCTCCACTTGCTCAGAAGGTCAGATAGAGGATCTGTACCACTGCTTTTTCAGATGCCCCAGAATACAGTCCCTATGGCAAAGAATCAATAACATTTGGGCAAAAACCACCACTCTCGAATTCACTAACAACCCCATACTCCTATTGCTAGGCTTCAACATACCAAAGGATTGGCCGATACAGTCCCTATGGCAAGAATCAATAACATTTGGGCAAAAACCACCACTCTCGAATTCACTAACAAGTTAACAACCCCATATTCCTATTGCTAGGCTTCAATATACCAAAGGATTGGCCGAACTCAGAGAGCAATCTCTTTCCAATCGTTAGGAAGGCGTCCCTTTGGACTATTTGGAGGAAGAGATGCCAGGAGACAATAGATAAACAGCCAATGCACAACCAGGAAGCATGGCATGGGGTCTACTCCAACAACAGCAAGTTGGAAGTTGAAACAAAATTCTGAGTACTGTGCTACAGAGTTAGAAGGAAAATGAGAAAGGATGAGATAAGAGCAAAGGAACACAGAAACAATTTTGAGATCAACTACCTGGCAAGTGGTAAAATTGCAAGAATCAAAGGACAGTCTGGTCTTCACACTTTGGGAAGGAAGCACACGTGCACCACAAGCAGAATCCCACTCTCCTGTCAGCGTCCCCGAATCCTTCAACATCCACATGGTATCCCCTTAGTAGAGACCAATAAAAGAACCAACCCCGCCCCTACAACACAGACTAGTACAGTAGCTGAACCAAAAGAACTTAGTGAAGGCAGACCCAAGGGCCTCTGGAAAGCAGAAGTAAGGGCACAGACAGGGCAAAGAGACTTAGTTTATCTACTGGAGAGTAACATGCCAGTCCAGCTCAAACACTGCCGGCGAGGGTTAAATAACGAGGCCAAGAAAATATCTCTAGAGTTAAGGGTTCTAACACATTCAGATCTAAAAACGCAAGGTTTTATGGTTTTAGCAGAAGAGACACCAACGACCCAAAAGGGAGAGGGAGAAGTCAAATAGGCATGAAGGCGCTAGTAGGGTATCCAGCAACCGGTAGGACAGAGCATAGGGTTTTAGCAAGGCCAATGTGAATTTCCAAACTAGCAGTTCCAGCAAAGTGAAGCAAATTCGGCGGCCAAGACGCTGCGAGGAACAGAGGCTTGGCCTCAAGGCTGCAATTTAAATTTTAAAGGCACCAAAGTTAGGACACTCAGACTAGCAGCTTAAAGCAGGGTCCAAATATCGCAGGCTAACTTAGGCAGGGGTGAAGGGTGGTACATCCTTCCTTCGGGAAGTAATCAACGCCGTCCTTCGGGCATCCCCACCATGAGGGGGAGGAGTGTGAGTGCGTACTCATTGTAATACCTTCTGACTTGCCAGGGGAATAGGAACCCGACTGATGCTCCCCAGAATGGAAAAAGAGCCAGAACCCTAAGGTTCTTTTTTCTTTTTTTTCTTTTCTTTTTTTTTACAAAAAAAAAAACAAACAACAAACGAAGTGATGAATTCTGGTGCCTCGAAAGAATGGGCTCAATTTTCAGAAGCGACACAAAAAAACAATTGTTCTATATGTTCTCGTGTCGCTCGACTCGCTCCTGAAATTTGAAACCATTCTGGATTAAGGAATCTCACAAGAGAACCGTCACCGCAGAAGAGTGGATTTGTGTCGCATTGAGAGAAGTTGAGACCCTATATGTTTTCATCAAATTTCGTGTCACAATGAGACCCTATATGTGCTCTGGAAGGAGCCACAAAAGAGAACTGTCACCGCAAAAGAGTGGATTAAGGAGGGTGAGAGAGAGAGAGAGAGAGAGAGAGAGAGAGAGAGAGAGAGAGAGAGAGAGAGAGAGAGAGAGAGAG